ATTGAAGGAAATTTTATGGTCTTTCAATAATCGTAATTCGATCATTAATAATTGAATTATTCCAAGACAAAGGTATGCTCTATCTTCTCGTCTTACTTTCTCGAGAACAATGATCCTTCCAAAACCTTCACTTATTTTCCTTCTCAATCTAAGGTTAGCAGGCTTGAGGAATTTTTTAATTCCATCTTCTGGAGATATACTTTCTCGTTCCACGCTTCAGAAATGCTCCGCACAGTAACTCGCTATAACTGTTCGAAAGCCTTCACTTTGGAACTTCGTTGAACAAAACGTTCAGATATTCAGAGTGCAAACGTAATGATACGCATTTCACGAAGGTTACAAAAATATTTAAAAAGATCTTCCACGGTATGAATTAACCTAGCCTGACCCTTGAATTTAACAGAAGAGAACGTCTCTCGCAACGATAAATATTCTGTCCAAATGGGAGGGTGTTAGGATAATAGAGCGTGCCTCGGATAACGAAGATTCGAACGAGAGAGTTTCTGCATGAGTGTATTCCTACACGACTTATCAATCCTCCGGGTCACCTATGGGTTATAGGTTTTCAAGGGCGGTCGCGGCCGGCCCCAATTATTGATCCTTCGGAAGCGGTTTCCGGGTCTCGCTCGCGAATACTCGGACAAAACTTGAGTGGGTGAAACGGCCGGGGCCAGACCCGGTGCCGTGGAGTCCTCACTGCAGCGGGAGAGAAGCGAGAGGACTGAGTGAGTACAAGAGGAAGGAAGGAAGTCGAAGAGGGCAAAAGCTGAAAGCGGAGCATGGCTGACGATGGGAGGGGATGGCGATGGGTGTTTCTGCGCGTTCTCGCCTATTCGCCCTCTCTCTCTCTCTCTCTATTTCCTTCAATCTTTCGCAGACAATTCTAATCTTCCAGATTTCGAAATCGATCAACTGTCTTCGTTTATCTTCGTTGATTCATCTTGATAAATCAATTCCTTCGAGCTTGCTGACATTTTTTTTTTAACGACGAACCGAAGAAATTTCTTTCACACCAGGCGTGATTTCTTCCTCTCGATTTTACGTTTCCAGCTTTCTGTTTACTAGAATGAAATATCCGAAGTTCAAGGAACGTAACTGTCGATTTAACGATGTTTCTCGATAATCAAAGATAAGGTACACAATATGATGGACTTTATCAGCGGTGATCAACCAAAATTCTACATCTACATAATCTGCATTATCACATCGATAAAATTCTTCTCGTGGAAATTTTTGTGATTTCGTATTCTGTAAGACAGAATGCACGTTCTATTTGCGAAACGGAATTGTTTGTTTTACGATATTACCTTTTAATTTCGTTTGTTAAACGATATTACCTTTTAATAGGAAACTTCTGGTAGTCACAGTATTCCTCGACTAGTTCTACAAGAACAAGTTTGAAAACTTTTTCCAGTGGAGTAAACTGAATTGAGTTATTCCTGCGTAACATATTCATTCTATTTGCTTTTTGCGTGTCAATCATTCAGTCTTCTAGTATTCTACTCAGCATTTCACTTTATTATATCAATCCAATTGACTTACAGTTCCTACTTTTTGGCTCAAGCAAGAATAAAATTAAATGTTAAATCAATCGTAAAATCCACCACTTCGCGACTAATTAACACAAAAATGAATGGAAATTTTTATTTTCTCCCGTGCTTTCAACTCTTCAGTCTCTCTCAATTGAAAAATGTTCTACTAATAAAGATATATTCCACGGTATGTGCCATTCACTCGGGATTACTTCGAATAAACGTCGGTTTCTAAGCTGGGAAGGGGGGAAAAGGAAAAAAAAGGAAAGTTCGAACAGCTAGATATTCGTTTTCGCCGCGGCGAAATCCTATCCTATTGTCTATAACCTCGATAACCAGGCTGATACGTGCGACGCTATAAAGTATAGAGACCTCGAACCTTGCCGCGAGTCGATGCCCGAGTTGATCGAATGAGTGGCCTTCGCGGAATTCGAACACGAGTGCCTCTTGCACGCTCAGCGATTTGCTCGCCGGAAATCCTTGATTAATATCCCATGCAAGTTCGCCGGTTTCGAGGAGACAGCGAATTATTAGGCGCCGCGTCGAGGTCCAACCACGTAACGGGTGTCGTTATCTCTAAAATTCAGAAACGGCGCGAGCCACTCCTCGAAAAGAAACTGCTACGATCCTCAATTTTATTCTCAATTTTAAGGAACGACAAGAATTCCAATGTTTAAGAAAGTTTCAATGGAAGCTTGAACTGATGATTTGGAAATTGTGCATACTACCAGAGCTTCTGTAGATTTCGATTTCACTTTCGTTTTAAATGTAACACCGGGATATGAAGTTCTGAGTACCTTCGTGAGCTATAAAAATTCAATGTAAAACGTGGAATCTATTAAAGAGTCGTTTGATCAAATAGCAAAAATTGAATGCTACGAAAATAAAATACGAAACTTATTAAGTGATTGGAAGATATGTACATGTATACGAATATATAAAATTTCGAGTACTTTCGTGAATTATCGTGGCCGCAAAAATTTGTGAGAACGAAGTCTGTCAAACAGAATTCAAAATGGATTAAATAAATAAAGCAGATCACTGAAAATTCGCTTCGTTGAGAAACAAGTCACTGCAAAATGATCGCCGGAGCCCATGAAAGTTCATTCGTTTCGCGCGAATTCATTCTCCTGCAAGCATTGCCTGAAAAAGAATCGGTTCCACGGATAACGATGCATCCGCGCCTGAAACGTCGATTTATCACGAGAACTGAAAAGAATGATGGCGTTCTGCGTACTGCCATAACTTACGTCGTGATCACGTCACGTCGAGTATCAAACAACTCGAGCAACGTGTCCTGCCGTTGATCTTCGATCGAAGGGTGCGGAATAAAAAATGATCTCCTCGATACGATCGGCAAAGGTAATGTTTAATCGAACGCTTCATAATTTTTGTACACTGAGCGAACAGACACGGGGTGGGGGTGAGGGGGCTCCCTTGTGGATCCTTGTTGCATCTTTTGCTCGTTTTTCACCGAAATGAGTAAATGCGTAGACGATTTTCTCCCGTGGAATTTCAATTCTTACCAGTTCTCTGTCCACGATTAATGGGAGTATCGTACGAAGAAAATGTAGGCGTTCCTCTCACGCGAGACGGTCGCATCCGTGGTCGAGTTTAATCACCGGTCATCATTTCCATGAACTCTGCAAGACAGAAATTAACGAGCTTGTGAATTTTTTACTCTACGACGCAAGGGAATGAAGAATTTTACTTTCCATTCCCGAGAAGGGAAATTGATTATAGCGAGATAAATAACGATCTTCCGATTATATCCTCCGACGATATCTGTTCTAATATTTAATGCACGAGACGAATCTCTGAATGTTTTTTGCTCAACTGCGAGATATCTAAAATTTATTCATTAGATGCGCCATAGAAACGGCTCGGAAAATTTTCTTTCGATAAAGAAGAGCGCGTGCGTGTGAAATCCGCGAATTCATCTTTTTATAAGTTTTATCACCGACAAGGGGTTATTATCGTCGAGTAAGGTGGCGTAATCCGAAATATCATTACTAGGCAGTCCTTTTCATTTCGTCAGAGAGAGAGAGAGAGAGAGAGAGAGAGAGAGAGCATGATAGGAGAATATTTCTCCTGGAAGGCAAGTAGGTCGTATCCTTGCTCCTTTATTCGGAAGCTCTTCGGAGTTTTTTGAAAGAAGCTTTGGAAGGCCGGTATTAAGACGTTCGGAGGTTTAATCAACTGCCTCGTACGAGCCACCGTAACGAGCTCTATAGACACGAGAAGCTAACAGAAAAGTTTCACTGCCGAAAATATCATTAAGATAATAGCGGCACACGTTGTTGCAAAGTTTAGGATCACTATTTTTAATTATTTGTATCGTCGAACATTCCGCTAGTTTCGTCATTAACTTTTATACGAAAAATACGTTAAATTAATGTACATAAATTGACGTACAATAATGTTCAATTATAATTTTTTTAAAACTATTGAATTTTCTGCAGTTATAGACAATTCCAAACTATAACACGAAAAATCGCTCTCTGTACCCGCATTTGTATTTTCTGATAATTGCAATTGATCCAAAATTGAGGCGCC